GGTACGGGTTAGGGTTAGGATAGGAGCTGTGGGGGGTAGAGGTACGGGTTAGGGTTAGGATAGTTGTTATCTGACATACCTTTTCAGATCGACCCGAATCTTTCCCCGTTCGTACCAGGACTCTACTCCTGTCACGATGATTGCCCACTGGGTGGCGATGGCGGTCACTAGCAGGTTGAACCCGGAGCCACTGAAGCCGTAACGCACTAGAAAAGTGCTCAAGAAACCAAACCCTAGAACCACCATCACATTAACATCCTGGAACTCTGTAAAACAAAAATCCCCTTTGAGTTACCACATATTTCGGTGGATATAATCATCAAAATAAGTGAAAATTGTTCTTTAGCTTGTTTTCTCACTTGAGCAACAGCTAAATGACTCTGAACCCTTTAATGTTCTGGGCTATAGAAATTTAATTAAACGTTTTCAGGCATTAAGAGAGTTGAAGATACAGAGGGGGAAATAAGTATTTGACCCCTTGCTGATTTTGCAGGTTTGCCCACTTACAAAGAATGCTTATTTTTCCTCATCAGATGGTTATCAATTTTTATAAATTCATATGATGTGATTTTCTGGAATTTTCTTTGGGATTCTGTCTCTCACTGTTAGAATGTACATATGATTAAAGTTATAGATCGTTGCATTCTTTGTAAGTGGGCAAACCTGCAAAATCAGCAAGGGTTCAAATACTTATTTCCCCCACTGTATGTTTATCCATACACTAAAAGAACATATTCCCAGTCCTTCCACCAACACAAACCCATTTAAAAACTCACCTGCGTAAAATGTCTCATCCAGGATTGCATTGTTGTTTATTTCTAAGCAGAAAGCTGCTATGGAGATGAAGGCTGTCTGCAGGAGGAGCAGCACAGGGCCCAGAAGGGAGCGCAGGCTGGGAGCATACTGGGGAGCCATCGGAGGCTTTTCTGTGAGCTTCAGTCACCACGACCGTTTTAAAAAAGGGCGCAACCAACAGAGCTCTTTATCAGCGGCCAGACTTGTCTGTCTGATTAAAAAAAAAAAATCTAAAAATATGGGGTTGGTTTTTACTGCTCCAACAGACAAACACATTGAAACACACACATTATATTATTTGTATTCTTGACCAGTCTGATTATAAACATTTTTAATGCTCTTTATCAGCGGCTGAACACGAGTTGTCTGTCTGATTAAAAAAAAAAAAATCTAAAAACATGTGGTTGGTTTTTACTGCTCCAACAGACAAACACATGGAAACACACACATTATATTATTTGTATTCTTGAACAGTCTTATTATAAACATTTTATTAAAAAAAAAAAATCTAAAAACATGTGGTTGGTTTTTACTGCTTCAACAGTCAAGCATATGGAAACACACACATTATATTATTTGTATTTTGACCAGTCTTAATATAACATTTTTAATGCTCTTTATCAGCGGCTGGACACGACATGTCTGTCTGATTAAAAAAATAAAAAATCTAAAAATATGGGGTTGGTTTTTACTGCTCCAGCAGACAAGCACATGGAAACACACACATTATATTATTTGTATTCTTGACCAGTCTTATTATAAACATTTAATTAAAAAAAAAAAAAATCTAAAAACATGTGGTTGGTTTTTACTGATCCAACAGTCAAGCATATGGAAACACACACATTATATTATTTGTATTTTGACCAGTCTTATTATAAACATTTTTAATGCTCTTTATCAGCGGCTGGACACGACTTGTCTGCCTGATTAAAAAAAAAGAAAATCTAAAAACATGAGGTTGGTTTTTACTGCTCAAACAGACAAACACATGGAAACACACACATTATATTATTTGTATTCTTGACCAGTCTTATTATAAACGTGTTTTTTTTTTTAATTTAAAAACAATAACAACAGGTAATAGCCATTTGACTACTATATACTAACAGCTAATTTAATCACATCTCAAACAGCCAATAATACAACCTGTCTGTTTTGACCGTGTTCACATTTAAACCCAGTAACAAAGCATAAATGGGACTCAGCACCTTGGGGCAACTCGGTCAATGAACCTCTGACAAAGGCCCAGATATAAATAGGCCTGTGTGCTGGAATAGATGGTTTTGTATAAGACACAAACGGGATTTTTCTACCAAAGACAGCATATTTTCTGTCCATAATAAACCAAAGGCTAAAACCTCCACGGAACGGTCCGCCTCTGCCGTTATCTGATTGGCTGTCAAGCAGTTCCCCGAACGATTTGATTGGCTGAAAAATTAGACATTTTCACGTAGAGTCCCCGCCCTCCGCTCCGGCGTCTTTGACAGCGGAGACAAGAGTGACAGGCGGTGGTGCATTCTAAT